TTTTCAGTGGGCACAGCATAAATAGTACATTGTGTAGCTTTCCGCTAAACATAAAGCAAACAAAAAAGCTGCACTGGACTTCTTAAGGTTTAGGCAGAAGTGTTTAGAGGATAATTTATAAGATCAGTACCAACAGTTACTTGAACTTTGATAAGCGATGATGTGCATTCTATATACTAGCCACTACATATATATATATATATAGACAGTAAGAATTATCATGCAAGTCACGTAATTTTTATATTAACAAAGAAACAAACTACACAATGAAATTTACGTTTTTCCAAAAATTTTGAATCAAAACGTGTCATTAACTCTTCTAGGGAGGTTTGAGTAAACAGGATTTCAAATCAATCGAGATTAATGATTTCAGTAAAAAAAAAACTGTTAATAGTTCGGTATATATTTAAAAAAATCGCAAACTAAGTTCCAATATTTCTTTTTTGAACTGCAGATAACAGTTAAAATATTGTGTGACAAATTATCTTTCATCCCCTTTTTCGTGTGGAAGTGTTTACATTTTATGTACAAACACTGTCTTCTCACACATACCTGAAGTGTTTCCCGTCTTAAGAGAATGTAACTATTACTACACAGAGCGTACAGCGTGTTCAACAGCATATCGCGGCTCGAACCTTGGACTTTCCGATTCGTAGCTTAGTACTCGGACATGCTAGGCACTAGTCATAAATATATGTAGGTTATAAATGATAAAAAATAAGTCAGCATTTTTAGCCTTAGGGAATTAATGGCATCTTTGTTTTCAAATTTCTTTAGGAAATATGATAGACATATACAGAATGGAAAAACATATTTTTTGGAGTTTCAAGCTATATGAAATTTTCATTATTTGCAGACTTTGAGTGACAGCATACCTTTAATATCTTTATATGTTTTAACAATCTTAAAATCAGTGTGTTCTTTAACTTTGGATCCTAAGACTCTAATTATAGAAGTTATATTCTTCTAATTACAAATGGAACATCTTTATTGTGAAACTGTCTTAGAATTCTACAGTCTACTATATTTCACTTTTAACACTATGTGGAGCTTGGAATCCAAAATTATAAAGTGCACTGATTTTATGATCGATAAATAAGTTAAGTACAAAACAACACACATTAAATGAACGTGATGAACCACAAAATCAGAATTATTTCGAAATTATTGCTAAGGCTAATGATGAATTACAGTTAAAGTTTAAATAGTCTTTAAATAAATAGGCTTAACAATAAATAAATAAAGCGAATAGTGTTACAGAACTACTTTTAATATAATAGCTGTTTTCGCAAGTTTTATCAACCTGATAGGTTAAAGCAAGGTACAATAAGACTAAAGATAAAGCATTTATGTATTTATTTTGTAAAATAAATCCTTATTTGTAGAGCAATATTTTAGCTGAAACTTTAAAAATATGTATTACACAAATCGTATTAATCAAATTGCATAGGGTAAAAGAACAGCACGTTTCTTGAATAAAGCGGAAAACAATATTAAAGCAGTATTTAATCTTTTATAAATTGAATAACATAATGGTACAAAAATTTTCACTCGCAGATTTACGTCAGCATGAACATAGACATATTCAAAGTACAATTGCAAATGTAATAACACTAATATTATACTATTGTAAAAGAAACTTAGTTGGTCAGAATTGTTTTCTTTCATACTAAACTTGAATATGATAAAACTTAATGCTTAGCAATAAAGCTGTGATGAAAAAATAGATTCATTGTGCAAATGAATACTTTATTAAAGTAAATATTTATCAAATAAAATATTTTCAAATGTTAAATTGGTATATGTTATAACAATGACTTAACAATAACAAAATTCAGCGTTAACTAGCTTTTTTATTTTATAGTTTTAAACTAAAAATAATAATTACACTTTAATCAATGTTGTATAAACATGGAGTATTATTCTTCAATATTATAACGTACAATGTACAAACAATTTAAAACAGTATTTATGGTTACTATAAGATGTTTAAATTTTATCAAGAAAGTCAAAGAAAAGTTAGCAAAGGAAGAATTTTTTTGAGGTTCAAATATTTGGCTATGAATATTATTTTTGTATTCATCATTTTAAAATGACTCAGTTACTTTTAACATAATAAAACTGGTTCTTTCAGACTTCTTTGTGTGTTTTGACAACTTTTTGTTTTACATTAAATACACATTTTCGGTCTTTACATGGAAATAAACTTTCATTATTCAGAACATCTACAGTCCATCGTGAAGTTTCGCCATACTTTTAGGTTCCAATAGCTTTCACGCTTCTCCAGGGGTTAGGTGATTAAAATTGGAGCTTCTAGTTCCAGTATTGCATTAAAAGTAATGTTTTTAAAGATTTTTGTGTCAGCAGAGCTCAGCCTGAGTCATGAGGACTGGCCAGGCCTTTTGGATGGTGAACGGCGACCTGTTAGAGAAGATATTAGATCTGAAGTGCTATTTTTGCGCAACTTTGTATTTGAAGGTATAAAGGACTAACCCAGATGTTTGCTAGAAAAAGCAATTCATCGTCTAACGTAATGTTTCTCAGAAGAAAAAAACAGAAATATAAACAAACAGAATATACTCGTTTTAAAAGAGATGTTACTGTAAGGAAATTCTTTATGTAAGCTCATACAGAGCCATGTTGTTTGTGTATTAGACAGGTAAGGATGGTGGAGTATTTTCATGTTCTGCCATTATGGAGTTGAGATGGATAATTTCTATGTCATCAAGCGTACCAATTTATTTCAAATAACTCAATTTTACTTACTGTTGAAGATCGAATTTCAATGAAACAGGAATGTAAGTTAACTTTGTACGATAGTTAGAAGAACATGACATAATTATGATAATTATTCATAATGTGTCACATTATGGTTTTTAGATATGCTATTTTGAAGACACCTTGTAAATGACATAAATTGTTTAGTAACGTGTGGTTCTACCTTTAACTTCTAGAAGTGTTTCAATTCGTGATACTATAACAAAGTCTTTAGGAAAGCTGAGGAATTAAGTTCCTCGGGGACATAGTTTGACCATAAAGCACAGCGGTCTCGTTTACTCATGATGATCTTTCAATTACTTTTGTCATTTAACTAATAAGAATAATCGCCATGCTGTAATATTCCTTAATAATCTTTCTCTTTCAAGATCACAAAATTGATCAGTTTGTGTCACCATAGCATTTATTAGTCAGCCTCCTATCTGCCTTCTTTGAAAGTCAGTTAAGAACCATCCCTTTTCCATGTTGCTTGACCATTAATGTGGAATAGAGATTACATACGTTTAAATAAAACGATCACCTGTCTTAGAGGTCATTTGAATAAAAAATCAAGAAATAAACTGATGATAGAGTCCATTTAACATCTGGGGAAGAATGGATATATCTGTAAGTGTTTCTATTTTTTTGTCCGACTCCTGTATTTGATAATTAATCAATAAAGTTAAATAAATCAGTTAAAAGTGCCTAGATGACATAAAACATTATACATATTAATACAAAAAATAATGTAAAATGGTATAATTTTTTTTTTTTGTAAACATAAGTTTACATTTTAGATTCGATCAGATGTTTAATGGAGGAACGGTAAACCGCCAAAAATACGCTATACACAGAGGATATTAAACATACAACTTAAATTTAACAGACCCTTTCTTCTCTATGAAATTTTTGTAGATACACTCCTGACCTTAAGAACCTACAGTACTAAGTATCCGGTAAAGCCGTACAGGACGCTTATACTTTATCCATGATATTACTATTTTTCTTAGATAACGTTTCTTAAATAACCATAGTTTATATTGAGAAATGCACTAACATTTTCATATTACTGAATTATAATAAATCGTGCCTAAAACATACAATGGAAAAATTATACCACGTGCGTTAATTGACTGTAAAAATGAATGAAATATTGCCTTTTCTATTAAACATTTGGCCGAATATAAGCTGTATCGTTTTCTTTCATACCACTGTTAAAGTGGAGATTAAGCATTAGAATAAAAAAATATATATTTGGTTGTTTTTTCCCCTAAAGAACGAATGTGCTTGTTTTAATGTTCATACACACGCGCGTGTGGATATATTCACGTATATCCACACTTTTAATTTTATAAGTATTGAAATAGGTGAGGATTGGCAATACAAATTAATCATATTTCAATACTAAAAATGTTCTTGCTAAAGTTTGAAAGGTTCAAAAGTTAATATGCTTATTCTGAATATATCTTAACATATCTTGGAAAAAATAGTTAACAGTTTCACTTTTATATAAAGAAAAAAAGAAATAATCAATCGGGAATTTCACTAATTTTATTTATGATAATCGATGCTCTACTTTTGACTTTAAGGGTAAATGACTCCAACGTACATTAAAGTTTAACATCGCTTTGTGGTTAAACATGAATTTCACACTTGGAGGCGCTTGACAGGGATATGATTAAGACAGATACGTTCAGATACATGCCAGTAAATGTCCTACCTCATGCTTCATGTAAGTTGATGAAAGGTAATGAGATATCAGTGACGGAGCCGCCTGGTATTAATACTCTGATAAAATATCTAACATTTCTTTTTAATACAAGAAGAAGCATGTTGATAGATTACTGTTCGGGATTTGTTTTTGTTTGTCTGTAGAAAGTATATCTCCACATTTTCTTTCGATTAATTTTAATCTCTATACAAATGTTAGTTTCATTTGCAACAAAACTAGTAATCAAAACATTAGAATAAAGAGCATGTAACCAAAGGTTATTGTTCGTTAAAGACGTCGCCTAAAGGATGTCTTCTCATTACAGATTTAGATCTATTCGATAAGATGATCAACTTCAATGTCATGTTATTACAGATTCAATAAATTGGCCAACTTTATGGCAACATATCTTTTGTTCTCCAAATAGTAAATTTTTTGTCGGAAATAAAATTCTGGAACAATATAGATGAAATGAATATATTAACTGAGGACATTCTTTAGTAATGAAACATTTTCTGTTTAACTTTCATAGGTACGTCATCGAACTGGGAAGACTGGTGGACTTACGACGGTATATCTGGTAAGTATTAGAAGTATATGTTTTTTTTGTAATTAAGTACTAGTAATGTGTTATGTACTTTAATATTTAATTTAGTCTTCTATTGTAAACGGTATTAAAATAAATTTACTCCCTAATTATTTTCGTATTTGTATCTAGGCATATGTGTGTATGCAATAACAATTGTTATCTAAACATATTGTACGTAATAACTCATTAATTTGGCTGGAAATCCTACGCATAATTCCATATATGCAGGTAAAAGGAACACACCTAGTCTGTAACTTCTATTGCTAGCAGCAGACGTTTCTTATAAACAGTTAAATTAAAACTAATTTAAACTTTGTTAAAATTTATCATCCAAAAATCTCCAAACTTCCAAAGCACATTATTAAAGATAAAATAGTGTAATTTTAACATCAGCTCGAGTAGTGAGAACTTGAGCTGTAAATGAACCACATTTTCCCCTAACTGCTAATCTCACATCCCGACTTTTTCCTAGAGAAGTAAAACAGTCATCGATGTCTTGCTACACAAGATTTCTAGCTTGCCATTCATTTTATTTATATATATCTACAAGAAAAACATACATTGGAATACATGAAAAGTTGGTAACTATTGTTTGGCAGTTAAAGTAATTAGTCAATTATTGATTCCAAAGTCCTCCTTAGTAAACATTTAACATGACTTATTGTAATACTACCATACAAACACCCTTTCTAGGGGCACTAACTCATAACTGTTTTTAAAGAAGGGTTATTCTTCATAGTGATCCTATTTTAATCAGATATAAGGTCTGGTAAAAGTGATGAATGACGTATTTTTACAAAGGAATCTATTCAACTATTCATTGTTTTGCATTGATAGTTTTATTTCCACACTATCCATATGTTAAAAACGTAGTTTTAAAGGAGAATCCAATATGAAGAAATTATGTTAAAAACACTGTAGAAAGAAATTCGACTTTCACAGTCGATTTTGTCAAACTAAACTTCACACTCGACTTTACAAAATACAAAAGAGAGAATAATACGAAGTTGTTGAAATTCCATTATTTCAAAGTGTTACCATTTTTCAATTTTAAGCAGTAATTTATAAATCAAATCTATATGAAAGAGAACATTTAATGCTTGACTAGTTTATATATATCAAATTTTGAGAGAAAACAATGTTCAAAATGTTGTGCATATTCGTCTATTTTAAACCTCGAGAATAAATTTGATTACAGGTGGTGTATCTTTATTTTTGATATTTTGGCGTTGCTTAAAAACCGAAAAATGATTTTATCAATGTGAACGAAAAACTACACAGAATTTCTCATTGTTAAAAATAATTATTTTAAACAGTAAGCACAATATAATTTCAGTGTACGAGTATGTACTATAACAAATGAAATAGTTTTGCAGGCACTTTAATAAATTATGAACAATACGAGGCATCAGGTAACAAATGCCCGCCATGCTTAGCGTAAAAATCACTTCCGAAGTTTATGAATGACCAGAAGAATAATGATATTAAGAAATAATCATAAGAAATAATCTTCACACGTTTTTGTTACACGTAACTGAAATTCTATTGACACCCTTTTTAATCATATGCACTGCACGAGTCAAAATTAAATTTTACAGTCTATCAAACAGAAGAAGCACCCATTGAGACTGATTTATTGGAGTTACTCCCGTTAAAATGAAAAGGACTCAAATAAGGTTTTCAAATAATGTTATCCTTCCCATTATACACATTCGAACATAGTCCGATAAGGCACACATCGCATTATAAGGAACATTTGTAATTTGTTGCAACAGTTTTGTTTGCTATTAAGTAGAAAGCTACACAATGGGTTATCTGTGATCTGCCCACTGCAGGTATTGAAAATCTATTTTTAACGTTATAAGCCCTCAGCGGGCTGTTGCAAGAGTATTTATAAACTAACAATATTATTTTTTTAAACATACTGCTGTTTTGAGGATACTTAGGCATTTTCCAACAACATTTTATATGAAGTTAATAAAATGCTATTTTTTGCAGGGCTGAGAAACGAATTAACCGTCGAAGCAGCGATTTTTTAGGCCTAACACTGATAATAGAAATGATGATTGACTGTAGATTTTTTTTTCATAATTTTTCTTTTCATTCGTACTATACGGATTTCAAATTAAGAATGTTTAAATTACTAATTAAGAAAAATGCGGCAAAGAGTCTGCGATTAAACATGATTTTAATCACTTTTTGGGTCTGAAAATCCACATTTGTTTGCCACTTTATATGTTTTACATCACAACATGAATATCGTATACTCCTAAAGGGCAAGGTAGATATATTTTTGTCTGCTATAGATTCACTCAGCTGGTGAATTCTGGTACTGAACGAAATGTCCTTGATAGTCATTTGTAGTGCATAAACATTAAGAGCATTTATTGTTACTACACACCTTTGAATCGAATCAGTAGGAAGATTCTGAAGAAACAAGTAACCACAATTTTTATATTTTTTGTTAGACTTAAAACTAGTATTTGTTTATAACATTATTACAGCTTCATTTGATACGCTAGAGTAGATCATTACTTCAATTGTATACAAACCTTATGCATACGATATACGTTATTCTTTTGAGGATATTAAACCTACAACAATGTTGTCATATATAATTAACATCTCTTGCATCATCTGCAATGTGCGGGAAATTAGTTTACCATTTGAATAGTCTAGCTAGCAGAGCACAAAGGCTGTTAGAACGTATCTTGTCATCAGTTGGTGCATGCCTATCATAGCTCTATTGAAGAGCTGGTACGTGTAGAAGGGAGTGGTGATGGAAATTCGTTCATTAAGCGTGGAACACCTTTGGTGTAATCTGTTAGCATCGAGCAACTATGCAGCTTCCATAATTACACTCTTCAGTAAGCTTGCTGTGATTTGACAATGGTAACACTTTAGTTGGTCAGTGTATTTCATCTTGTAACGAAGTTTTCTCTAAAGTAATATATATATATATATTATAATCAACCCTGCGTATCTGTTGAATAAACTGTGCTTTGATAATAACCATAATTGTTATTAAAAAAAAAAACAATCTAAATATTGGATATGCCACTCCGACATCATTTTATAGCTTTACAAGGATTTTCGTTAAATCTTAGAATAAGTCTGCTCATTAGAATTATTCTTTAAATGCAAAGATCTGATTGAAGCAGTTACTATTCTCACCAACGGTGTCAAAAGAAGAATGTGTATATTATAGTAAAACCACATCAGGCTATCTGTTGTGTCCACCGAGGGGAATCGAACCCCTGATTCTAGTGTTGTAAATCCGTAAACATACCACTGCCCCACCGGGAGAAACAAAAATAGTTAAGTAAATAAACATAGTTAAGAAATATTCATATTCCATTCTAGAGTCTAGTTCTTAAAGAACTAAAACCAAAGCTAATTTATATACATTATAAAAACAACCAAACAGCGTTATGGGTTTATAAGATTGCATATATCATCCACATAGCCATGAAACATTTCATACTGTGTATGAGACATTAACAGCATAACAAAACGTAAAAGCAAAAACACGGCTCTTTACTCTTGTTTTTTTAGTCAATATTATGTTTTTCCTCTTGAATGTCAAGAATGTCACAATTGTCAGTATCTTACTCTACGATAGCCTGAACGTATATGTGTGTTCCATCACTTCAAAATTATTTTCATCTATTTTTTGTTATGTAACAGCTTGCCACCTGTATTTTTTATATTTGAAAAGGGAGGTGAAATAGGTAATTATTAACAATAATGAAGCCCTCCAGTGGGTCAGCGGTAAGTCCACAGACTTACAATACAAAAGATCTTGGGTTCAATTCCCGTAGTGGGCAAAGTGGAGATAGCCCATTGTGTAACTTTGCACTAAGAAAATAGTAATACCCCCGAAATAAGTTCTTACAGCCAGGTTTTGATTTTCAGGTAGTATTTTGAGACGTTGTACTATATTCTAACGGAGAAAAATAAATTGCACCCATTTCCATTTTAACTTTGTCGTTAAACATTACGTATTCGTTGTACAGATAATTACATTGAATATCATGTGAAAAAACCTAATCTTATGAGAAAGAACTGATAATTTGAACTTTGCTTAATTATTTGTCATTTATATTCTTAGAATAAACTACTAGATAAAGAGTTTTAGGTGCAAGAGACAGATATGAATGATATATGTAAATAAACGTATACTGTAACGCAGGCAAATTTAAATTTTATGTAAAATTACATTTTCGTAATTTATCGGGCAAAGTTGCATTTTTCCGTCTCTCTCTTCTTTGTTGCAAGGAGAAAAAACTTTTAAGAGTAATCCATCTTGATCACGTTTCGAACAGAGATTGTCATTTGACCTATGATAAATTACTTCATTTTTACTCTCTATTAGACGCAATGGAACGGGTGAGAACATTATTCTTTTATGTAATTAAATAAGATATGGAAATATTACAAGGATCAAGATATGGCGGTGCAGGAATAGAAATCTCAAATACTTGTTTGTATCGAGGCTTGAAAAAAAAAACACTTCGATGTATGATTATCAAATATTACAATGATTTTGTGACTACAAAAGTCGATTTTATCACTATCACAAGAAAATAGTTTTCAATTTTATCTGAGTTTCCAGTTGTGATTTTTTTTCTTTGATCACGTCCAACTTATATTTGTAACAACCATTGTCAACTGTATCGCTTATTGAACAAATTGAAATAATAACTACAGTTGTTTGACTGACGTTAAGCGAAATATTTCTCATTTGACAGAAATGATCAAATCTATTTTTCTTTTTGTTAAAAACCCTGACAAGTCTTACTTCAGAAACAACAAACATAACAATAACAAACATCCAACTTAAGCGTTTGAAATATATTAGTTACAATGCCACTATAACGCAGAAACTCATGCTTAGAGAGAAACAGGTATGTTTTCTTCAACTTATTGATAAAGGCTTGCGTTTCCAAATGATACTATATTTACATTTTCGCCTAACGCAAAGTAAATTA